AATTAGCCAGGCGTGGTGGTATGCACCTGTAATCCCAGCTACTCGGGAGGCTGAGGGAGGAGAATCACTTGAACCTGGGAGGCAGAGGTTGCAGTGAGCCAAGACTGCACCACTGTACTCCATCCTGGGTGGCAAAGTAAGACTGTCTCACACACACACAAAAAAAAATGCTGGAGAAGTCCAGGCACGGTGGCTCATGCCCGTAATCCCAACACTTTGGGAGGCCGAGATGGGCCGATCACGAGGTCAGGAGATCGAGACCATCCTGGCTAACACAGTGAAACCCCGTCTCTAGTAAAAATAAAAAAAAATTAGCCAGGCGTGGTGGCGGGCACCTGTAGTCCCAGCTACTCAGGAGGCTGAGGCAGGAGAATGATGTGAACCTGGGAGGTGGAGCTTGCAGTGAGCCGAGATCATGCCACTGGACTCCAGTCTGGGCAACAGAGCGAGACTCCATCAAGAAAAAAAGAAAAGAAAATGCTGGAGTATGTCAGGGGAGTGGTGGAGAATCTGTGGCACACAGAGACTCAGGGTGGCCCCAGAGAGAAGGAAGTGAAACACCCTGCTCTGCCACCCCATCTCCCCAGTCAGGATCAGCTCAGAACCAAGACGGATTTCTGTCTGGGGGAAAGAAAGGCAGGTCGCCAACAGGTCCCATTACCACCACAGACACCTGTAGTCTTTTCTGCTGGGGAATCCTGCAGTTCTCTCAGGCCCTGAGCCCAGTTTAGAAAGCTGCCTCAAATTTCCATGGCCGTGTTACTGCAGAGAAGAAGGCCACATTGTGACCCAAGCTGCTACAGCATGGCATCATTTTCAAACTGTACCCACTGCTCTAGGGGACAGTAACCACTGCATCTCTCCATCCCTGAGGCTCTGCTGTCACTGTACCATCTCACACACAGTAGTGCAGCATACCCCAGCTGAGGTGCTACAGCTCCCTACTCCTTGGGAACAAGCTGCCCAAGAGGTGCTCCATCTTACCCATCCTAGAGGCAGCACAGTCCTGAACTCAACTACTCAGAACCTAGGCCTAGCAGAACAGCCATGACCCTAGCACCCAAGCCCATGCAGTGCCCTGCCTCCAAAGGAACAGGAAGTCTTGCTCAGCGGGGAAGCCAAGCTCAAGCCAGTGGACCAGCCCGGCATCCTTCAGCATGCAAAAAGCCTGATACTCCATCCACAAAGGAGCCATACTCAACCCGGTATGCCAGCCACACAGTCTCCTGCAGCCACTGAAGCACTTGCAGGCATTGCTGACATTGATTACAGCTGAAGAACCTGCATGAAGACCACACTACTACTGTACCCATGCAGAACCAAAGCCAATGTGCCTTACTCAACTGATACTTAGGCCCCATCTGCATGTTAAAGCCTTTCCCTATGAAAGCTACTCTATAGAACTGGAAAAGGCAGCTGATCCATCAGCTGCAAAGGAATCAACATAGGAACACAAGAAGCATGAAAAAGCAAACAAATATGACACCAACAAAGAAACACAATAATTCTCCAATAACCCCAAAGTTAGAGAGAAATGTATGAATTTCTTGAAAAGCAATTCAAAATAATGATCTTGAGGAAGCTCAGCAAGACATAAGAGAATACAGATAAGCAAAATAATTCTTGATCTGAGTGAGAAATTCAAGAGAGATAGATATATTTTAAAAAGAACTAAACAGAAATCTTTGATCTGAAGAATTTAACAAATGAAATAAAAAATACAATTGAGAGCTTCAAGAGCAGCCTAGATCAAGCAGAAAAAAAAGGAATTTCTTTCTTTCTTCTTCTTTTTTTTTTTTTTTTCTTTTTTTTTGAGACGGAGTCTCCCTCTGTCACCGAGGCTGCAGTGCAGTGGTGCCATCTCAGTGCACTGCAACTTCCACCTCCTAGGTTCAAGCGGTTCTCATGCCTCAGCCTCCTTAATATCTTGGATTATAGGTGTTTACCACCACACCTGGCTAACTTTTGTATTTTTAGTAGAGAGGAGGTTTCATCATGTTGGCTAGTCTGGTCCTGAACTCCTGACCTCTGGTGATCTGCCTGCCTCAACCTCCCAAAGTGCTGGGATTACAGGTGTGAGCCACCGCACCCAGTCAAAAAATAAAAAGAATTTGTTAACTTGAAGACAGCACTTTTGAAATAATGCATTCAAAGGAAATAAAGAGAGAATGAAAAATAGTGAAGAAAGTTGACAGGACTTATGGGGACATCATTAAAAGATACTCATACTATGAGATTTTCAGAGGGAGATAGAGAAAGGCACAGAAAGCTTATTTAATGAAATAATAGCTGAAAACTTCCCAAGTCCTGGAAGAGATATATGGACATCCAGATCCATGGCACTCAAAGAACCCCAAATAGATTCAACCCAAAGAGGTCCTCTCAGAGGCACATTGTAATCAAACTGTAAAAATTCAAAGACACCGAGTTTTAAAAGCAGTAAGAGAAAAGTATCAAATCATATATAAGGGAATCTCCATTACACTATCAACAGATTTCTCAGCAGAAACCTTGAAGCCCAGGAAAGAATGGGATGATATAGTCAATGTTCTGAAAGAAAAAAAAAAAACTGCCACCCAAGAATGCTATACCCTGTCATTTAGAAATGAAAGTGAAATAAAGTATATTGCAGACAAGCGAAAGCTGAAGGAATTCATCACCACTAGACTGGCCTTACAAGAAATGGTATGGAAGTACTTCAACCAAAAGCAAAAGGATGATAATTACTTTCATCATTTTGTGTGTCATAAGAAAACATATGACAGTATAAAACTCACTGGTAGAGGTAAATTCATAATCAAATTCAGAATACACCATTACTCTAATGGTGGCATATGTCTTTTAGATCTCTAGTATGAATAACTACAGCTATAATACACTGTTAAGGAAAACACAATATAAAAAGATGTAAATTAAGAAAAAAATTTAAATTGTGGAGGAAGGGCAAAAATTTTTTGTGTGAGTATCTGTACAGGACCAAAGTTGTTAATCAGCTTTAAAAAGTCTATTATATGTATAAGATTTTTCATGTGAGCACCTTAGTAACCACAGAAAGAAAAATTACCTCAAATACACAAATGAGAAAGAGAAAGGAATCAAAAGTTTAGCACTGCAGAAAACCACCAAAACAACAAAAGAGGAAGAAAAGAACAAAGGATATATAAATCAGAAAATAATTTTTAAAATAGCAGGAGTAAGTCTTTGCCTATCAATAATAACCTTGGGCTAGGTGTGGTGGCTCATACCTGTAATCCCAGCACTTTGGGAGGCCAAGGGGGCATGGATCACAAGGTCAAGAGATCGAGACCATCCTGGCCAACATGGTGAAACCCCGTCTCTACTAAAAATACAAAAATTAGTTGGGCGTGGTAGCACGTGCCTGTAATCCCAGCTACTCAGGAGGCTGAGGCAGGAGACTCGCTAGAGCCCGGAAAGTGGAGGTTGCAGTGGGCTGGGATTGCGCCACTGCACTCCAGCCTGGCAACAGAGCAAGACTCCTTCTCTAATAATAATAATAATAATAATAATAATAACCTTGAATGTAAATAGATTAAATTCTCCAGTTAAAGATATAGAGAGGCTGAATGGATTTAGAAAATAAAACCTGCAACACCATCCAACTACATGGCGCCTGCAAGAGACTCACTTAACATGCAAGGTCACACAAAAACTAATGTGGAGGGATGGAAAAAGTTATCCCATGCAAATGGAAACCAAAGGAGAACACGAGTAGCTATACTTAGATAACACAGACTTTAAGTCAAAACTGCAAAAAGAAAGTCATTATATAACAATTAATATAACAATTTTAAATATATATGCAACCAACACCAGAACACCCAAATATATAAAGCAAATATTATTAGATCTATAGGGAGAAATAGACTGCAATACAACAATAATAGGGGATTTCAGCACTCCACTTTTGGCAATGGACCAATCATCCAGAAAATCCACAACATTAAACTGCAAAATAGACCAAATGGACCTAACAGACATTGACAGAATCTTCCTCCAAAACACAGCAGAATACACATTTTTCCTCAATAACACATGAAACACACTCCCAATCAGGCTAAAGCCTTGCTATTGTTTCCACACAGCTAAGTGCCCAAGTTCATCCTAATCGAGCTGAACACTAGTCACTGGGTTCCACGGTTCTCTTCCGTGACCCACGGCTTCTAATAGAGCTATAACACTCACCGCATGGCCCAAGATTCCATTCCTTGGAATCCATGAGGCGGAGAACCCCAGGTGAGAGAACTGGAGGTTTGCCACCATGTTGGAAATGGCCCACCACCATTTTGGAAGCTACCGGCCACCATCTTGGGAGCTCTGGAATTAAGGACCCCCAGTATAACAATATCACTTGGCGGGGTTTAGGGAGGCAGCCTTTGAAGTACTATGAAGTTTTATTTTCCTTGTCTCTCACAATATATCCATGTGTGTTGTCCTCTGAAGCGTGTTTAAGTGGCATTAATTAGATTCGACAACTAGGAGGGGACAACATATATGCCTTCATACTCTCAACTTCTAAATGATTTGTTAAATGACATGAATTTTATGTATGTACGTATGTATGCATGCATGTATGTATTTATTTATTTTTGAGATGGAGTCTTGCTCTGTTGCCTGGGCTGGAGTGCAGTGGCACAATCTCAGCTTACTGCAACCTCCACCTCCTGGGTTCAAGCAATTCTCCTGCCTCAGCCTCCAGAGTAGCTGGGACTACAGGCATGTGCCACTATGCCAGCTAAATTTTTGTATTTTTAGTAGAGACAGGGTTTTACCATGTTGGCCAAGCTGGTCTTGAACTCCTGGCCTCAGGTAATCCACCCACATTGGCCTCCCAAAGTGCTGGGATTACAGGTGTAAGCCATCGCGCCTAGCCATGAATTTTAATCTAGTTTCTTCAGCAAAGTGTTAGCCAGTAAAATGTTCTTAAGGCCAAGAAGATAACTACATTGTTTTCAATGTTTAAATCCAAAGGATTCTCTCCGTTGTTGGAACAGTATTTATTAGTAGATACATTGATATTTTAGTTTACATATTCAGAGAAGCAGGCTAAAAAAACAAACAGAGATGGCTCTCAGGTTGTCAGTGTTCTTGACGTTTACAGGGGCACTGCGTTTAAAAATCAGCTTGCTTGAAAGGAGCAAGGCCCAAACTATGTGAATAAGTAAAAGCCGCACTGTCTATGCCATACTTGAGCTGGAACACTATCAATATTCAGGTTCTTCAACAAACTCCAGAAAAAACTCTAAATGTTTTATTGCCTTACTAATAAATAACAAAACAAAAACTAATGAATATTAGTAAAATAATGTTATTTATTGCTTTACTAATAAATAACAAAATAAAAACTTTGTTCCAACTCCACGCATTCCAAAATAGTGAAGTTTGATCCATGAGAGACCACAGCCATGGCCCCTCCATTAGCTTTTGATACTTTACTTGGAAGCAAGTTACTATTACAGAACATGAGGCTGCAAAAAAGAAACCACAAAAAATTTAAACAAGTGATACTCTTTTTAGCATCAGTGAAATAGTCCAATATATCTGAAAATGAAAAAAAAATTGTTTTGAAATTATCTCCACGGTGACTTTGTTATTCTCAAAAGTACATATATTATATTACCTCTGCATATAACCTTTTTTTGAGGGGCGGGCTGGGGAGACCTAACAGAGCGAGCTGATGACTATGGCAGGTTTAAATGAGACCTTGCTCCAAGTTTGGCATCTTCTTACTGCTTCTGCTTGCGGCGTTTGACTCTTTGCTTTCTGGTGATCCACTGCTTTTCCATGTCCTGGGTGAAACATTTGCTTTTGTGATTACATCTCAACCATGTTGCTGCTTAGGACTGAATATGAAACTGACCCCTCTCCTACTTTATCTTCTTTTTCCTGTGCTGTAACGAGAAATTTAGTGACTTCAGAAAATGTAGAGCCCATGATGCAATAAAAATGTGGCAGAAGTCAATGAATCTGAATTACGACAAAACAATAATCAACCATTAAGACTCCCCTCAGTAACTTTTTCCTTGGTAGATGAAACTAGTCTCTAAAAACCAACAAGCAAACAAAAACAAAAACAAAAATAAAAAACTTTTTTCTTTTTAAAAAGTGAGCCCACCAAAATTAAGATTTTAATTTTGGGAAGTCATCACTTCGGCAAACTATGCTTTAGGAATTTTTTACTCTATATTGCCTTATTTCAGCTCATGGAAATTTTAGTTTTGTTATATTTTAGAGTCAATACTATTAAAGAACTGCAAGCTGGTATCAATTTTTTTGCACCTTCTTTTTTGGTAACATGAGATATATAGATCTATATACACGTTGGCCAGGCTGCACTCGAACTCCTGACCTCAAGCAATCCACCCACCTTGGCATCCCAAAGTGCTGGGATTACAGGTGTGAGCCACCGCACCTGGCCACATGTGATATATTTTGTTTTTTTATTTTTTGAGACGGAGTCTCGCTCTGCCACCCAGGCTGAAGTACAGTGGCGTGATCTCAGCTCACAGCGAATTCCACCTCCTGGGTTCAAGCCATTCTTGTGCCTCAGTCACTTGAGTAGCTGGAATTACAAGTATGCACCACCATGCCCAGCTAATTTTTCTATTTTTAGTACAGACGGGGTTTCGCCATGTTGGCCAGGCTGGTCTTGAACTCCTGACCTCAAGTGATCCACCCACCTCAGCCTCCCAAAGTGCTGGGACTATAGGCCTGAGCCATCATGCCCGGCCAACTGTTTCATTTTAAAAGAAACACAGGGGAGGAAGATTTGTAGTTTAAGCTAAACAAGAGAGAAAAGCCACTTTGATATATACATATGAAGCACAGATTGCCAGTGTTTGCTAAGTTGTATCCCACATAGTATTGGCTGCCTCTTCATATTTACACCCGTTCAGCCCAAGCAGTGAGTGTGGAAAAGTGAATTGTTAAACATTAGAGAACTCTGAATAATTGGCATTAAATGTAAATACATTAATTTAACATCTTCGACTTATCTTGAAAACCTTGCCAAACCGATAATGCACATTCTCCTGAAGACAGGAAAAGAGAACGCCCACAACTCTTCCTGTCACTCAGGGTCCTGGCTGAATGGACCCTCCTGTTACTCTGACTCTTCTCAGAGAAAAGCAGAATTGGCAGAGTGTGGTGGCTCACACCTGTAATCCCAGCACTTTGGGAGGCCGAGGTGGGTGGATCGCTAAAGGTCAGGAGTTCAAGACCAGACTAGCCAACCTGGTGAAACCCCGTCTCTACTAAAAATACAAAAATTAGCTGGGCATGGTGGCGGGCACCTGTAATCCCAGCTACTCAGGAGGCTGAGGCAGGAGAATCACTTGATATCACTTGAACCCGGGAAGGGGAGGTTGCAGTGAGTTGAGATCGCGCCACAGCACTCCAGCCTGGGTGACAGAGGGAGACTCTGTCTCAAAAAAAAAAAAAAAAAAAGCAGACTTATGGTTGCTTCTTAGCTTCTTTCTAGAAGGGACCTAGGCATGTACCACCAGGAGACCCTAGAGGACCAGCACAAAATGGAAAGCACATGTGCCTTCTGGGACGCGGCAAGCTGGGCATTCTCCCAGCTCCCTTCACACTTGTACCAAGGCACCTGCTTGATCTGTAAAGTAAAGCTGTCAGAGAAGCTGCAGCAAAGGCGGTGGGTTCCAGATTCCTAATTCCCTAAAGCAGTGGGTCTCAGCTAGGGTATTTTGCCCTGAAGGGGCATGTGGGAAAGTCTGGATACGTTTTTAGTTGTCGTGACTAGGGGTGGTATTGGCATCTAATATGTCAAGGCCAGGGATGCTGCTACACATCCCGCAGTGCACATACAGGCCCCACCACAATGATTCAGCCCCAAATAGGGCCAACGTTGAAAAGCCCTGTCCTAAAGATAGGCCAGGTGATGGGGTGGCTTTCAGCATTGCTGTAAATACAGCACGCACCTTGGCCATTCAGTCCTCCCATTCAGTCCTCTAAGAAGTTACATATATTGTTTAGAATGTATTGGGGCTGGGCGCGGTGGCTCATGCTTGTAATCCCAGCACTTTGGGAGGCCAAGGTGGGTGGATCATTTGAGGTCAGGAGTTCAAGACCAGCCTGGCCTAAATGGTGAAACCCTGTCTCTACTAAAAATACGAAAATTAGCCGGGCATGGTGGTGCACACCTGTAATCCCAGCTACTTGGGAGGCTGAGGCAGGAGAATTGCTTGAACGTGGGAGGCAGAGGTTGCAGTGAGTTGAGATCATGCCAGCCTGGGCCACAGAGCAAGACCCTGTCTCAAACAAACAAACACAAACAAACAAAGTATATGTTGGTAGAGAAGGTAAGTCCCCATAGTCTTAGGTTTAAAACAACTAAAATTTCTTTGGGGTTTTTACTATCATCATCTTTTGAAATGTATAAACTGAAATTCATTTATTATTATTTTTTTAATTTTCATATTAGAAAATCCAGGATCCAGAGCAAGACCGATCAAAACCTAAAACAGAAACAACTGTTCACCATGTTGAGTCTCTCTAATAACAACGTTTGCAGGCAACTTAAATGCATTAAAATGACAGAACTATTAAAAATTTCAGACATCACTCCCTCATTTTATAGGCAAAGGCAGAAATGCTCAGTGGCAAAGTTGGGGTATTAAAAAATATACATCCTAATGGTTCTCAGCTCCTAGGAAAAAGGAAGATGGTTCTTATTTTTACTTATTGCAGTGAATACTGGATTTATCCTGAGACTGTGTCCAAGAAAATATACAGATGCTTTTTGATCTAGGAGATTGAACTTGAAAAGTTTTTTTCCTGGAACACCTCCGTATGCACAAATTTAGTACAAGAGTCAAGCCTTAATCTGCACAGTAATGGTGTTTAGACTGGTATAGTGGAAATACAGGCAAAACCGGATGAGGAAAAAGGCAAGGGAATTAAGATGGACTGGACCCAAGCAAGGAGCACCTTAGTTGACAAGTTGCAAAGGTAAGTTCTGAGAACCCATTCAAGAGTAAAGACCCATCATCAAATATCCACATGCCAGCTCGCAGGCCAAAGGACTTTCATACAATTTTGAACATTCATTCATTCATTAGAGGGAAATTATCCAGCTTGTTATATTTGATCCGCTCAGTACATTCAGGGAAAACACAGATCTCTGTTGGAGTTCAACATACATTACCTGGTCATCCGTACCACATCCTGTGTCTGAAAATTGTTCCCATCTTACAGGAAGAAATGACATTCTTGACCCTCCTTCCTGCAAATATCACATGATATTTGCCACCTAGTATTTCAAACGTCCCCCACCTGTGAAATATAGTTTGCGCCTTCAGAAACCCAGGCTACAAACCTTAATGCTGTCCTGAACAAAACCAACCCTCTGTTGAACAATTTCTCCTTGGGTTAGAGGAGGAAAATGATCCCTGATTCCCATGCATACATGCAGGATTTAAAAAGAATGTCTGGGAAGAGGCCTTGGATTCTTATTTATTTTTTTTAGACAGAGTCTTGTTCTGTTGTCCAGGCTGGAGTGCAATGGCATGATTTCGGCTCACTGCAACCTCCGGAAACCTGGTCTCTACTAATAATACAAAAATGAGCTAGGTGTGGTGGTGGGCATCTGTAATACCAGCTACTTGGGAGGCAGGGGCATGAGAATCACTTGAATCCAGGAGGCGGAGGTTACAGTGAGCGAAGATCATGCCACTGCACCCCAGCCTGGGTGACAGAGCAAGACTCTGTCTCAAAAAAACGAAAAAAAAAAAAAAAAACCCCTAGGCAAACAGGCAAGACATTACAAAGACCACTACGGAAGTAGATATTTACAAATACAGTCATATATTCTGTCTACTCCATCGTTTAGGAGACGGGAAATCCAGAGCTCAAGTCCAACCTACCTTAAGCAAATTCAAACTATGTCATTACAAAGCAGCTTAATGATTACTCATATCACAGAACGGTTCATCAGGACATGTTGTCTACATAGCAACATCAGTTGGCATTTAAAATATAACTCATTTACGAATGTTATTTAATTTAGATACAACTGTGGGAATATGAGTCGGGGTAAAATGAGGGTAGAGGAAGGACAGAGGGAGAAAGTAACAGCCCCTTTCCAAAAGTGTCTGGGGTTGAGGGTTTCCAAATATTAGATGCAAAGGCCAGAGGAAGCATCTGAGGTGATAATCACAGTGATCTTTTTATTTTTTTCCCAAAAAGTAATTTTTTTTTTTTTCTGAGATGGAGTCTCGCTCTGTCGCCCAGGCTGGAGTGCAGTGGTGCAATTTCGGCTCACTGTAAGCTCTGCCTCCCGGGTTCACACCATTCTCCTGCCTCAGCCTCCCAAGTAACTGGGACTACAGGCGCCCGCCACCACGCCCAGCTAATTTTTTGTATTTTTAGTAGAGATGGGGTTTCACCATGTTAGCCAGGATGGTCTCAATCTCCTGACCTCGTGATCCGCCCACCTCGGCCTCCCAAAGGGCTGGGATTACAGGCATGAGCCACCCCTCCCGGCCCCAAAAAGTAATTATTCTTAACCTGCTTCCCAGGCTGGACTGTGTAGCACTGTGGCTAAAACTTCCAGACACAGAGATTAATATGAGGGTGCAATCTGAGGATATAGCAATCTGAACATGCAGGAAATGACAGACAGTGTATATGCATGGAAACAATCTGAGGGTGTGACACCCTGGACACACAGGGTCTCTGATGCCTTGGACATCCTGGACACAAGCTGGAGTTTCCTTTTCCTTTTTTTGAGGCAGAGTTTCGCTCTTATTGCCCAGGCTGGAGTACAATGACACAATCTCGACTCACTGCAACCTCTGCCTCCCGGGTTCAAGCGATTCTCCTGCTTCAGCCTCCTGAGTAGCTGGGATTACAGGCATGCACCACCACGCCCGGCTAATTTTGTATTATTTTAGTAGAGACGGGGTTTCTCCACATTGGTTAGACTGGTCTCGAACTCCCAACCTCAGGTGATCCACCCGCCTTGGCCTCCCAAAGTGCTGGGATTACAGGCGTGAGCCACCGTGCCTGGCCTGGAGCTTTCTATTAAAGCAATTCTTTAGATCTTTGTTGCAAGAGCAAATGAGGCAGCAGATAGCTACCTGCTTCGTTCAAAAGATCAGGAGGCAGTTTGGTCTAAACCAGTCCAGTATACTTAGTTTGAGGCACGGGGGTGGGGCAGAAAGGGCACCTGCCAGACAGCTCTGGGCTGGCCTGGGGCCAGCATGGAGGGAAGGAGGCCCTTTGGATTCCCCACCTTCTGTGTGGCTTCTGCTGGGTGTGGACATGAGGCAGGCAGAGGCCAGGGCTGGCATGATCAGTTGGCATTTTGTGAATGGCTAAGTAGCAGAAGCAGGTAACACATGAATATGGTGTTTTAGAGAACAAATCCCAACCCATTCACAGAGGTTCAGTTTTCTTCGGTTGTACTACAAAAAAAAAAAAGGAAGAAAAGAAGAGGAAAAACAGACTGACGGAGAGGAGAGAAAGAAAGAGTCGGGGGTGGGTGAGAAGTGAGAGAGAAGAAAGAGAAAGGATGGCTGCATCTCACGCAGCGCTTATTCCCAGGGGTTCTCCCGTGACCGCTCAGAGGATCCTGTGGGTAGAGACCGGAATGACAACTCTGCTCACTGTGAGGGATGGCAAGAGAGGTCTTGTGAACACTTTGGTCTCCAGCATCTGGGGCCTGTTTTCCTGCTTGGCCTTTTGGGTGATCACAGGAGGTCTTGGGTCCTTGGCTTGCAATTTGGATTTGTAGTTTTGCACTCCCCGTTTCTGCAGAAGCTGCAAGGCAGCAAGATAGCGAACGTTACTGGAGTCTGAAGGGCACGCCAGGTTTTTCTCAGACAGGAGGGGCCAGTGCAGGCAGCACTGCTCCAGATCGGCCAGCAGGGATGTCCGGGCCGCTGGGGAAGGGGAGGATGGCGTGTCGTTGACCACAGTGTGTTTGGCCAGCTCAATGGGTCTCGTTTCACCTTTCCCATCTGCTGTTTTCAAGCCATATGCACAAGCCAGACACCCGTCCTTTTCCACACTCAGCACCTTCTCTTCTGACTGCAAGAAAGAGTTCTTACTCTTCTTACCCAGAACATCCAAGGCATTTGAAAGTGAAGCCTTCAGGGGTGGCAGAACTAGGAGGGCCCTGGAAGTCAGGGGGCCTGAGATGGACAGCCCTCTGTGGGCCCCTCCACTGGGGTTCCGAAGGGCCTTGCCCCTGCTACTGTCCGGGATGGCCCAGTCTTCGGTGCACCAAATAAACTCCTTGATTTGCAGACTTTTTTTCTCTGTTCGAAAGCAGGTGGGAAAGCAGATGTTGCTAATCGCCCTGGAAGCAGTGCTGGGGCCCTGGGGGGCTGCCTGAGTCTGGGAGGGGCTGCTCTGATCCTTCTCTGGGCCCCCCTCCGTAGGAGGCTTGGTCTCGAGGCTCCTGTGGGCCAGGTTAACACACACCAAGCAGTCGCTGCAGGCACCTTCCCCTACCCTTGCCTTTTTTGGTAACTTCCTCGGCCAGATGCAGGCAGCTGGAGAAGTCCTTCCCCACCCTTGGACCTGCAAATAAAGCAGCATGTTACTCCCCCAGCCGAGGGGCCCAAACTGTCCCTGCTCCAGTTTTGGCCACATTCCTATTTTGGCAGTCTTACGTGAAACAATATTCCTATTTTTATTTATTTTTTTACTACCCCTTCCCCCACCAATACCTTTCTTAAAATTCATTCACTTAAAAAAAAAATTCTTCAAAGTTTCAAAGCATGAAAAAAAAGTGTAATATCTACTTTCACCCCTACAAAGTAATAACAGTATTTGTAATAGGATTTGTTAATCCTAAATACTAGCAATGGCATTTGTTAATACGAAAACACTAAGCAATAGTGTTTATAAATGGCCACTTTGAGGTGCTGACTATATTTCTTTTCAAATGTACATTTAAATTCGAAGCTATTAAAATAAAAAGAAAACCGTTCATACTCGGCCCACCAACAAGGATTTCGAGCACCGCCGGTCTCTGCTTCCCATACCTGGGGAACACTGTTGCTTAGAGAGGCTGGAGGGAGACCCGGGAGCAGAGGCAAGTCCTGGAAAGCAGAGGAGCCCTGCATACCCAGGGACACCTACTCCCCATCCACGCCCAGAGTCCTCTGGCTGATCTTGCCACAGAGATCACGGTTAAAATAGGGTTGCGGCCGGGCGCGGTGGCTCAAGCCTGTAATCCCAGCACTTTGGGAGGCCGAGACGGGCGGATCACGAGGTCAGGAGATCAAGACCATCCTGGCTAACAAGGTGAAACCCCGTCTCTACTAAAAATACAAAAAACTAGCCGGGCAAGATGGCGGGCGCCTGTAGTCCCAGCTACTCGGGAGGCTGAGGCAGGAGAATGGCGAACCCGGGAGGCGGAGCTTGCAGTGAGCTGAGATCCGGCCACTGCACTCCCGCCTGGGCGACAGAGCGAGACTCCGTCTCAAAAAAAAAAAAAAAAAAAAAAATAGGGTTGCCAGATAAAAACACAGGATCACATTTTGGACATACTTATACTGATAAATGAGGTGTTATCTGGTAATCCTATGTTTAATCACTGGATTAGACCAAGTTTTCTTATAGTTTTATGCCTTTTTTTTTTTTTTTTTTTTTTAGTTTTCTTAGTTTTAAACATAGGATTCTATTATTGCTTCTAAGAATTGTTTAAGAGCCAGCCTGCAGACCAGGTGCAGTGGCTCAGGCCTGTAATCCCTGCACTTTGGGAGGCTCAGGTGGGCAGATCACTTAAGGTCAAGAGTTCAACACTAGCCTGGCCGATATGGTGAACTCCCGTCTCTACTAAAAGTACAAAAATTAGCTGGGCATGGTGGGCACCTAAAATCCCAGCTACTCGGGGGCTGAGGCAGGAGAATCACTTGAACTCAGGAGGCGGAGCTTGCAGTGAGCCAAGATCCCGCCACTGCACTCTACCACAGTGAAACTCCATCTCATTGGGGGGGAAAAAAAGCCTGCTGAGTAGAACCATTAGGATAGAAGCCTCAGTTCTCTCAGGGAGTTCAGCATAGCTGAGGGTTCTAGAGTTCAGGAGAACTAGATTCAAGCCCTGCCTTGGCCACTTACTGGCCGGGTGATCTCAAGCATGTTACTTTGTCTTCCAGGTGACTCAGTATACTTATCCACAAAGCGAGGCTGGGAATAATATTTGCCTCATATGGCTATTGAGAGGTTAGATGAATTAATGTCTCCAAAGCACTTACTACTGTCCTGTCCACATACTAAGTGGTCATAAATATACACAGTAGGTGCTGCTATTATCATCAGTAATATTCTACCTCGATTCCAGGGTTTCTACATGTCATTGATTCTACATTTTTTGGTAATATTAACTGTTTTTGGAAAAAAGAGGCTTGCACCAAAACACTGATGTGCAAGAGATAGAAAAGCTGTGACTCAGAAAGATACTCACTGCCTCTTCCCATCCCGTTCCAATAATAAACCCTTCGGCTTTTTCATCTTGTTCAAGCGTAATGTCACTGATATCGAGAAGACAATAAACATGATTCTTTTCACTTCTTCCATCTGGACAAGTACAGGTTGGTTCTGTTTCTTCTGTGCTTTGAATTTCATTATTTTCACCATTTTCTAAGTCAGTCTCATTTTTCTGACAGAGATCCATTACTGCGATGGTTGCTTAAAGTTTTTAACATCTTCTTGCTGTTTGAAAACATGAATGGAACTTCATTTTTAATATTAATTTTTTTTAAAAAAAGCAATTCAATACTCAGGTGAAATATCTTCAAGACACATTCAGGAATATGGCCAGCCGCGGTGGCTCACACCTGTAATTCCAGGAATTACTTTGGGAAGCCAAAGCAGGCAGATCACTTGAGGTCAGAAGTTTGTGACCAGTCTGGCCAACATGGTGAAACCCCATTTCTACTAAAAATATGGCGGGCGCCTGTAATCCCAGCTACTAGGGAGGCTGAGGCAGGAGAATCACTTAAACCCAGGAGGCAGAGATTGCAGCGAGCTGAGATCGGGCCACCGCACTCCAGCCTGGGTTAGAGAGTGAGATTCTGTTAAAAAAAAAAAAAAAAAAAAAAAAAATTGCAGCGAGCTGAGATCGGGCCACCGCACTCCAGCCTGGGTTAGAGAGTGAGATTCTGTTAAAAAAAAAAAAAAAAAAAAAAGAAGGAAGGAAGGGAGGGAGGGAGGGAAAAGAAAAGAAAAGAAAAGAAAAGAAAAGAAAGAAAGGGAAAGGAAAGGAAAGGAAAGGAAAGGAAAGGAAAGGAAAGGAAAGGAAAGGGAAAGGAAAGGAAAGGAAAAGAAAAGGGAAGAGAGGAAGGAAGGAAGGAAGGAAGGAAGGAAGGAAGGAAGGAAGGAAGGAAGGAAGGAAAGAAAGAAAGAAAGAAAGAAAGAAAGAAAGAAAGAAAGAAAGAAAGAAAGAAAGAAAGAAAGAAAGAAAGAAAGAAAGTTAGTTGGTTGAGGAAGAGACTGAGAACAAATATTACGAAACCATCCACTGCCAACCACTGGCACTATGAAAGATAAGGCAGCCAGGAGCAATGGCTCACACTTGTATTCTCAGCACTTTGGAAGGCTGAGGCTGGTGGATCACCTGAGGTCAGGAGTTTGAGGACAGGCTGGCCAACATGGCGAAACCCCATCTCTACTAAAAATACAAAATTAGCTGGGTGTGGTGGTGTGAACCTGTAATCCCAGCTACTCAGGGGGCTGAGGCAGGAGAATCACTTGAATCTGGGAGGCGGAGGTTGCAGTGAGCCGAGATCGTGCTATTGCACTCCAGCCTGGGCAACAGAGCAAGACTCTGTCTCAAAAAGAAGAAGATATGAAGAGACATAGGGAGAAGATGGCCATCTATAAGCCAAAGACAGCAGCCTGGAACAGAGCCTCCTCTCACAGCCCTCAGAAGGAACAAACCCCGCCAACACTTTGATTTTGGACTTTGCGAATCCAGACCTATGAGGTAATACATTTCTGTGGCTTAAGCCACTCAGTCTGTAGTACATTGTCATGATGCCCCTAGCAAAGTAAAATAGTAGGTGATGGTGATAATGATGGTGATAACCCTATCTACCATTAATGGATGTTTTTCTGGAAAATGCACTTGTCATTTAGAATCTAGACAAAGGGTCTGCAAAGTTGTAAACCTGATTAGAGCCAAAGAGCTGAACAGTTCCAGGCCTATTTATTGGCTGTGTCTCTGGAGCAATGACTTACTTTTCTGGGTCTGTTTGCCCATCTATAAAAAGTGCAAAAGTGGCTGGGCGCAGTGGCTCATGCCTGTAATCCCAGCACTTTGGGAGGCTGAGCTGGGCAGATCATTTGAGGTTAGGTGTTTGAGACCAGCCTGACCAACATGTGAAACCCTGTCTCTACTAAAAATACAAAAAAGTTAGCCAGGTGTGGTGGTGCACACCTGTAGCCCTGGCTACTCAGGAGGCTGCGGCAGGAGAAATGCTTGAACTTGGGAAGCAGAGGTTGCAGTGAGCCGAGATTGCGCCACTGCACTCCAGCCTGGGCGACAAAGTAAGAATCTATCTCAAAAAGAAAAAAAAAAAAAAAGGGCAAAAGCATAATACCTTCCTACAGATAGGAGCTCTTCCTGTGGGACCCCACAGGCTGCAGAAATTAACTGGAATACGTGAGCAGTGACCACCAACAGTCTGGTTTGAGTGCTGATAAGCACCCATTGTCTTCTCAAGAAGTTCCTTCCTTGTGCTGAGAGAGAAGCCACAGGGGACACCCACTCCTTGCTTTCTCTCAGCCAAACATGACCCACGCCAGAAAACTAGTTTTTTTCATTTTCTGTTTAGGAAGAGATCAGTACTTCTTATAACAAATCTGTTTAATTACCATTTTGACTTTTTCACATAGGCTTACAGTAGTTTTTTTGGTTTTTTGTTTTGTTTTGTTTTTTTACTTTGAGACAGAGTCTCACTCTGTTTCCCATGCTGGAGTGCAGTGGTGTGATTTTAGCTCACTGACAAAATGTACAGGAGTAAATTTTGTGTAATTTTAAGTTGGAAGTTGTACCTCCGCCTCTCAGGTTCAAGCAATTCTCCTGCCTCAGCCTCCCGAGTAGCTGGAATTACAGGTGTGAGTCACCGTGCCTGGCCAACACTACATTTTTATAAGCACTTTACTTATGTAATGATGGTTCATAAGGAACTATATGGATTCCTTGTGACTCAAAGCTAAGAATCATCCCTGAGTCAATTAACACAGTATTATTAGTCAAAAGGTCAGATTACTGCATACCAGATCACCAGATGCACCTTCAGAACCCTGGTGTACTTCGGGCAGAATCAAGATGCTCCGCTACTAAAAAAGAATGTTGGTGGTCTTTTCCTAATTAAAAAGAAATTCAGTTAGTGGATAGAAAAGTTGTATTTTAAGTTTCCCTTCTCGAAACTTAGTACCAAGTTGTTGTTTGTCTCCCTCTGGTTGCCCAGGCTGGAGTGCAGTGGTGTGATCTCAACTCACTGCAACCTCCGCCTCCCGGGTTCAAGCAATTCTCCTGCCTCAACCTCCCAGGTAGCTAAGACTACAGGCGCCTGCCATCACGCCTGGCTAATTTTTTTGTAACTGTCAAGTTTTATTACCCATTCTTGTCTTCCAGCTCATGTTAGCAGATGACACACAGAAACGTACAAGAATCAATAGAAGATCAAAGAAAAGAGTGGATGTGTGATTCCTTGCAATTTGTATGCAGTTTTACTTTTATGTTGGAATGCAGACATCTATATGCATATAATATTTTCTGGTAGTAAAATTATGCCTGACTTACAGATTTGACGTAAATCAAGAGCTCATGCCATCCCATTTCTTGGCTTTCACTGAACTTTACAACCTGATTCGGTTTGAGAATCACCAGGATAAAGCATACATCAAAGTCTATACTAACGTTTTCCACCACATCAAGAAAACACAAAGATCACAATGAACATGTTGCCATGGAGACGCATTTGCTGATACAACTGTAAAATTGGATTTAGAGTACAAAGCAGGAAAGCTCAAAGATGTAGGCCAGAAGGTATTAAACTCTATTACACAAGCTATTAAAGTGATTAGAACCAACATGTACAAAAGAAATAGTTGACTCAGATCCAAGCCCCCGAAGTGCATGTTTGGATAAACAAGAATAAACCCAAAGAAAAATTGATGAAAGAACTTAAGATATTTGGAAATGAAATAAATGAGAGCCTAAAAAAATATAGCCTATGGAAATTTATCATAATCCAGAAAATATCTTTTCTAGTAGCATTTAAAGACAGACACTAAAAGGAAATGATCAGCCAAAGAACTGTAAAGTAGTTTATTTTCTTTTACCAATAATATGATTTGCTTCAAAATAATGTGAGGTTGAGGTTAGGGAGGGAATAATGAAACCAAAGTGCCCTTAAGTTCTGTTTGTTGTAGATGGGTATGAGGACATGGAGATTAATCGTACTATTATATTTTTATGTAAGCATGAAATTTCCCATAATAAAACTTTTAAAGCCATGATGTTATCGGAGAGCTTCAAGAAATGAAATGTGGAATAATGATAGAAGCCAGGGTACAATGAATTTTGACCTTAAGCAAACTGAAGTAAATGTGTTTTTTTGTTTGTTTGCTTGTTTTGTTTTGTTTTGTTTTGAAACACTTGCTCTGTTGCCCAGGTTGGAGTGCACTGGTGCAGTCTCAGATCACTGCAACCTCCGCCTCCCGGGTTCAAGCAATTCTCCTGTCTCAGCCTCCCAAGTAGCTGGGACTACAGGCATGCGTCACCATGCAGGGCTAATTACTGTATTTTTAGTAGAAACGGAGTTTCACCATGTTGGCCAGGCTGGTCTTGAACTCCTGACCTCAGGTGATCCACCCACCTCAGCCTCCCAAAGAAATAAATGTATCAATGAACAGATAACATGGTTTGTGTAATTTTAAGTTGGAGTAAAAGACCTTGAACAAGGACTTATTGGAAAAAAAAAACATAGATGTACAAAAAAGATATAACATCAGATAACAGGATTTATAAAAGTGATTCAGAGGAACTCCAGAAATATTTGTCCAATTATTCTTAAGTCACAGTACACAAGGCCTTCTCATTGAATTTATTGAACGGCCAAAGGAACAGGTGTAAATGCAGAAAAGAATAGACATTACTATTTGGATCTGTGACACTATGTTGAGATCATGTAATTTGTTAATGAACTGAGAAGTACACAGACTATCAAATGCTCCTTTGTTATACATCTGGCAAAGTTAATGTAGCTTTAACACCCTAACCGATCTATAATTCAGAGTACTTACTCCTGAAATGAACAAAGACAACCATTAAGCTACCACAGTCAACAGTAGAGGCATACCAGTTGAATACAGCAAAAGGACGTGTTTTCTGTCATGTGTTGTATAAAAGTTAAAGTTGGAAAAGACGGGGAGAAATCAATGTAAACTGAGAACAATGAACATACCTCCTATTTACAAACAAGTAACACTGCCCAAAGAAAAACCTGTGTGGAAAGAGACCACCCGACCAAGAACATAAAGGAATTTCCAAAGGCCTCGTAGCTGAAAAGAAGTGAAGGGATAGCAGAAGAAATGACCATGCCATATAGTACAGAAAGGGCCTTTGTATTTCTTTATATATACTTTTTTGAGATGAGGTCTCACTAAATTGACCAGGCTGGTCTCAAACTCCTGGCCTCAAGCGATCCTCTCATTTTGGCTTCCCAAAGTGCTGGGATTACGGGTGTGAGCCTAGCCTTTCTTTGCTTACATATATATACACACACACACACATATATACACACACACACACACATATATATACTTTTTTTTTTTTTAAGACCAAGTCTCGCTCTGTCGCCCAGGCTGGAGTGCAATGGCATGATTCTGCCTCACTGCAACCTCTGCCTCCTGGGTTCAAGTGATTCTCATGCCTCAGCCTCCCAAGTAGCTGGGATTTCAGGCACATGCCACCATGCCCGGCTAATTTTTTTTTCTCTTTTTGAGACAGAGTCTCGCTCTGTCACTCAGACTGGAGTGCAGTGGTGCAATCTTGGCTCACTGCAAGCTCCGCCTCCCGGGTTCACGCCATTCTCCTGCCTCAGCCTCCCGAGTAGCTGGGACTACAGGTGCCCGTCACCATGCCTGGCTAATTTTTTGTATTTTTAGTAGAGATGGAGTTTCACCACGTTGGCCAGGCTGGTCATGAACTCCTGACCGCAAGTGATCACCCGCCTCGGCCTCCCAAAGTGCTGGGATTATAAACATAAGCCACCATGCCTGGCCCTTCATATTGTTTTGATAAAGAAGGTAATAATGTGGCTACTTTATTATTTTAATGAAAATAAGGTTAGAAATGAATTTATTAAAAAAAACAGAACTCTGATTTTGTGTTTGCTTGTTTTTGATTTATGTCTTTTTTGCCCCAGATAGGACTCAAGCTGCCAGGCTCTTTTTGAAGAAGGCTGCAGTGGGTACACTTTGAGTTAGGAGTACTGTCCATCAGTCTTGACTTCCTAGCATTAGTCAAGACAGGCAAGGATGGACTGCAACAACAAGCAGCCCTATTTCTTTTCCAGTGGTTAAAAATACATAGGCTTCTTTCTAACTCATGCTGTAGATTCATTGTATGATGTCTGGCACTCTGTTCCACATTGTCCTCACTCCTGAATGTGAACTGACGGAGGCTGCACCATCGGAAACCACAGCCCACTGTGATGCAGAGTGTGATGGCAAACATGGCTCTTAGATGTTTCTTCCTGGAAGTCACTCATTTGACTTCAGTTCACATGTCATTAGCCTGGAGTAAATCACGGACATTGCCTAACTTTAAGGAGAAGCGGGGCTAATACTTCCTTCTACATCTCCAGGAGGAGTAAGAAGCCAGATTTTGGTGACTTCACAGAGCTTTGTGACTAGCCTGGTCAACAGACTGTGAGTGGAACTGATGTGTGTCACTTCCTGGATGAGGCAGTGAATAGGTAACATCCTCCTTCAGTTCTCTCTTATCTTCCCATGATGACCTTGGGGGTCACATGTTGAGTTAGCAGCACCACAGAATGGAAAAAGCCTAGATTTTGAGTCACAGCTTTGAGAAATGCCCCCATAAACCCTCATCAGACTGTGCATGGATGAGAAAAAGCTTAATGACTCCAGCCATGAGATTTGAGGAACTGCTTGTTGCTATACCACAGTCTGTCCTATACAGGTAAGTAAAGTTACTGAGATTGTGTCAGAGCTGAGATTACAAGGCCAGGTGGGACTCTGACTGTGAGGGGTTGTTCATGTCATGATTATATCTGATGCAAAAAAAAGAAAAAAGAAAAGCAACTAGCTATAACATACTTTTTATTTACTATTTTTTTTATTTTTATTGAGATGGAGTTTTACTCTTGTTGCCCAGGCTGGAGTGCAAGTGTGCCATCTTGGCTCACTGCAACCTCTGCCTCTGGGTTCAAGTGATTCTCCTGCCTCACCCTCCCAAGCAGCTAGGATTACACACATGTGCCATCATGGCAGGCTAATTTTGTATTTTTAGTAGAGATGGGGTTTCTTCATGTTGGTCAGGCTGGTTTCAAACTCCTGACCTCAGGTGATCTACCCGTCTCAGCCTCCGAAAGTGCTAGGATTACAGGAATGAGCCACCGCGCCCATCCTACTTCTTATTTTTTTATTTTTATGTTTTTGAGACAGAGTCTCACTCTCTTGCCCAGGGTGGAGTGCAATGGCGTGATCTCGGGTCACTGCAACCTCTGACTCCTAGGTTCAAGCAATTCTCATGCCTCAGTCTCCTGAGTAGCTGGGATTACAGGCGGGTGCCACCATGCCTGGCTAATTTTTGTATATTTTTGTAGAAACGGGGTTTTGGCATGTTGGCCAGGTCGATCTCGAACTCCTGACGTCAAGTGATCCGTCCGCCTCAGCCTCCCAAAGTGCCCAGCCAATTATAACATACTTTAAAAAATAACTGAAGAGTTACATACTAAAGGGAACTAGCTAAATAGATTATTTAGTCCTCTAAATTATAGCTACCATATAGGAAGTCACATGATGCTAGCAGAAAAGGACTAGTTTCAGGTAAAAAAGGAAAATATAGTTGCTGTTTCACAATAGGAAAATATAAAACATAAAGTATTTTACCACTATAGAAGGGAACAGATATCTGTAGTTATTACGCTGTGTAAAGCCAGACTGGTATGTACCATAAATTCAGGCTAAAAGGTGACTATTAAAGATTGAAAGTCTCAGGAATACAAGCGCCATGTCTTTGGAAGACTAAAAATACGCTTAATTCAAAGATAAAACTCTGATTAGAGGCAGAATAGTATATAAGGTTAATTTATGATCATGGAGAGAAAAATGGGTAAAAATACCTGTTGCAATAAGCTCTTCTAGAATGTTCCTGAAAGATAATGTGGTAGGCAGAATTCTACAAATTCTCTCCCCTCAAGATTTCCCACCCTAATCCCTGGGTAAACAGGATGAAATACAACATCCACAAATATTTTATATTACATGATAAAAGGGACTTTGCAGATGTAATTATGGTTATTAACCAGTTGACGTGAAGATAGGAGATTATTTTGGATAATCCGGGTAAGCCTAATCAAATAATATAGTCTTCTAAAACAAACTTGTCTTAGCTAGCAGCAGCAGAAGTCAGAGATACAAAGCACAAGAGGAATTCAATGCATTGTTTCTGGCTTTGATGAAGTAGGGGGTCACATCCCAAGGAATGTGGATGGCATTTAGGAGCTGAGAGAAGACCCTGGTTTACAATGAGGAATTAAACGTGGATCTCAGTTGCACAACTTCAAGAAACTGAATTCATCCAACAGTCTGAATGATCTTGGAAGTGGGTTCGTCCAATAAGAGTCCAGACTGGATGACTTAGGAGATCCTAAACAGATAACACAACAACAATAGAAAACTAATACAATAATAATTCAGCTTAAATACTTCTGCTTAAGTACTTTCAATGACTGAGTGCTCATAACTTGACAAGAATTTTTTTCTTTCCATTGGAAGCTCTAAAGATTCGAATGATCTCAAATTAAGTCATCTGCAAATCTGCACATTTTGTTACTCAGTTCTGGGTATTCTTCTCAAATACAAATCTGAAAACATCTGAAGACAGCTATTATTTTGTCAGATATAAATTTTAAGTTCCTCATTATCGTAAGAATGCAAAATTACCTGTCTCTTAAAATGTGGTGCCTGGAACTGAAAGCAATACCTCAAAAGTGGTCTGACTAGAAATGTCTGCTTTGAAATCTGACTCCTTTTGATCTGAAATCTACATCTATTAATTAAACAAAGTTATTATTTTTTTAAAAAGTATAACCCAATCTTTTTTATTTCCTTTTTTTTTTTTGGCCACTATTTGATCTTTATTTCAAAAAAGCTTGTGATTCTAATCTGTGCAGGCTCAGATACAGCAGTGGTGTGATCTCGCTCTGCCTCATATCTTGGGTTCATCCTGGTTCTCTGCCTCTAACATCAACTCCTAGATGGCTGAGACACAGATGTCTGCCTCCACACCCAGCTAATTTTCTTTCTGGCTTGAAGGCAAAGGCTGTCATCTGCCTTAGGATGGTCGATCTCTTGGCCTTATGATCGCCGCCTGTTTTATTTGGGATTACTGGCCCTCAACCACACTCATACCAGCTTTTTTGGAATGATCTGGCTCTAATGCCCAAACTGGAGGTGGGGGCATTTTTTTTTTTTTTTTTGACAGAGTCTCGCTCTGTCACCAGGCTGGAATGCAGTGGTGTGATCTCAGCTCCCTGCAACCTCCGCCTCTTGGGTTCATGCAGTTCTCCTGCCTCAGCCTCCTGAGTAGCTGGGACTACAGATGCGCGCCATCACACCCAGCTAATTTTTGTATTTTTAGTAGAGACAGGGCTTCATCATGTTGGCCAGGATGGTCTCGATCTCTTGACCTTGTGATCCGCCCGCCTCAGCCTCCCAAAGTGTTGGGATTATGGGCATAAGCCACTGCGCCCGGCCCTTTTTTTTTTTTTTTTTTTTTTTTTTTGAGACAGTCTTGGCTCTGTTACCCAGGCTGGAGTGGGGTGACACGATCTCTGCTCACTGCAACCTCCTGGGTTCAAGCAATTCTCCTGCCTCTGCCTCCCAAGTAGCTGCGATTACAGGTGCCCGCTACCATGCCTGGCTAATTTTTGTGTTCTTAGTAGAGACAGGGTTTTGCCATGTTGACCAGGCTGGTCTCAAACTCCTGACCTCAGGTGATCTGCCCGGCTCAGCCTCCCAAAGTGCTGGGATTACAGGCATGAGCCACCACACCCAACCCTATAACCCAATCTTAATTAACACTGAGCTTGAGGTGAACTACAACTTCTAGATTTTTTTTTTCACATGAATGGCTAAAAAGTCCCGTCTTCTTTACTCCATAACCATGCTGTTGATTTTCTTTTCTTTTTTTCTTTTTCTTTATTCTTTTTGTGTTACATGTAGACTCCAAATGCATCAGATCCTTGTAAAATTTCCCCTTTTGTTTTTGGACCACCATCAAACCTGCTCAGATAGTTCACAACCTAACTCTGACTTCCCACAGTTTGACCATCCCTTCTTGCTTGATGACGCCATTAATTTGACGAGGATACCTTCTGTATCTCCATTTACATCATGGATAAAGACGTTGAGAAGGATGGGTAAAGGATACTCCCCTCTGGATATCCCTTTCACTTGGACATTTGCTAATTATTCAAGTGCTGCAAATTCACCTTCACCTTACTCCCTATGCAATGATCTGGCCTATGTTTCTAAATCTTTTCTACAGGATTCTAGATCCATCCATTTAGATAGTTTTTTTTTTTTTTTTTTTTTTTTTTTGAGGAACTTACCAAGAGTTATAGAAGTTGATCTCTCTCTCTCTCTCTTTTTAAAACACCTATTGTCTAGATCAGGGATAAAGAATACATTCTGGCGGAGTGCGGTGGCTCACCCCAGTACTTTGGGAGGCCGAGGCCAGTGGATCACTTGATGTCAGGAGTTCAAGACCAGCATGGCTAATATGATGAAACCCCATCTCTACTGAAAATACAAAAATTAGCCAGGAATGGTGGCTCATCCCTCTAGTCCCAGCTACTCTGGAGGCAGAGGCAGAAGAATCGCTTGAACGTGAGAGGCGGAGGTTGCAGTGAGCCGAGATCGCACCACTACACTCCAGCTTGGCTAACAGGGTGAGACTGTTCCAAAAAAAAAAAAAAAAAATTCTGAATTGTCACCTCCAAACGAGTAGTAGCTACCTAGAGTGTTGTATTGAGAAGGATCTTATGATCTGACTACAGTAGGAAAAATTTCTGAGGTTGATTAATTATGTCTACCAGAAAATAAAGAGTCCCACATGTTTGCCAGTCTGTCTACACAATCAGATTACAAATATCTTACTGTAGATTCCTATACTTGGTTGATAGATTCCTAATTCACTAAGGGCGGGGAAATGTTGATGGACCAGAAGAAACCAAGGCCCAGGGTATTAAGTCAAACAAAACTGTTTATATCAAAAGCAGATAGATGGAAATCTTTCAAAACTCCTTATCACCTTGCCCCAGCTTCTCATTGGCTCTGCACTGTGCCACACACCCTCATCTTCCTAGAAGCTATAGATTTAAAGGAATCTTAAATTCCAACCAGAGAAAGATGAGTTTCTGGCAGCCTCATTTGGAGTTTGAATGAACATTCCTGTGGGTCAGGTCTTTAACGACCTATGTTGAATGAAGGAATAATCATTAGAAATACTGTTAGCCATGGTGGAAGTTAAGTTTCTTAATACAAGACCAATCTTCACTTGTATGAACCAGTTAAATAGGTCCTGAAGACTGACCTGGGCATCCTGATCATGAGCAACATAGTTTCTACAGGAAAATGAGGTGGGAGTCGCATTTAGAAACACACCGGAAGAAACCGAAACTTTGTCTCAAAGTTAAGCACCTGCGCCACCCAATTTGCACAATTTGTTCATATTTTCAAGAGTATAAATTTTATCCTCCTTGTTAATTACATGTGCCTTCTGCTTATTATATGCCTACAGGTCACAGGAACCAAGTATTTCACAGAATGATGCCAAGGAGCGCAGTTTCTACACCATCCCTCCGGATCAGACCACATCTATTCCAATCCCAGTCAAACACTTCCCCTTTTTCAACTCCCATTAATGAATTCACTAAGTACCTAGCACTGAGAATAAAAAATTCAAGCAGCACCCGTCTTCTCTGCTCTCACACAGCTTACAGCCCACAGCAAAGCACAAGTCAGCAAACTCACGCGCTCCACCTGCCACCCCTAAAACCCAGGCGCATCACGCTCGCCTCCACCTCTTCATCTAGCCCCGCCCCTTCTTGCAGGCCCCACCCCTTTCCCTATCAGGCTCCTCCCTTCATTCCATGAGCCTTTTTCCCTCATCCAGCTCTTCCCCTTCCTCCGCCAGTGCCTACCGTGCCACAAAGACGCCGGCCCTTCTTTCAAGCTATCCCATTCAGAAAAGCGTTCTCGATTGTCCTTTCGAACTCCTCCCTGTCCTCCGTCTACCCGCCCTTAAAGGATCCGCCCTTAAGGGGTTCCGCCCCCAACGGCTCCTCCTCAGGCCCCGCCCACCGCCCCAGGTCCCGCCCCCTCCCCAGACCCCGCCCGCTCTGGGGCAGCCCCCGCCCTTAGTGCCTCTGCCTTTCGCTTCCTCGCGTTAGGGGGTCGCTTCCTTTCAAACGAGGCAGGGCCTCTCGCTCTGTCACCTTTGGAGTGGTCCGGGGCCTTGCCCCAGGGGTGGAGAAATGGCCGCTCACACCCACCTGTGGGGCCGAGCGGATGGAAGGCCTCGCGACAGCTAGTCCTGGCCAGTGGGCGAGGGCGACTCAGGTCGCCGCCGTCCGGGCCGTTGCCCTGGGTTACGGCCACGCTGGGGGCGGGACCGCGGCGGAAGTGACGTAGCCCAACAAAGCTAAGCACAGGCGGGGCGGCTCGTGGCACCTCCTACCCGCTCCAGAAGCTGCCGCCGGAAGGGCCAACGTAGGAGGGTCTGGGATGGTGGAGGTGGAGGCCTAGCCGGGGCCTCGGGCCGCTGAGTTCCGTGGGAGCGCCCTTTTGCCTGCTAGGATGTTTAGTAGATGCCAGGCGGCCAGAAACATCCCCACTTTTCTCCCTCGGCTCCCTGAGGAACCGCCGTGCGCGTTTCCCATGGACACAAACTTCACAGGCCCAGAACGTCACTGGAGGACGCGTTGTGAACCTCGAAGAGCCCACTTACGTGACCCACAGCACCGGGCCGACGGACACTCGCTGAACTTCTGGCCCGGAGCGGCAAGCTCTGAAGTCGGTACTGGCATCTTTTATACAAATAAAGGAAAGTGGCCCCACGTCCCTAAAACAACAGCTTGCTGAAGAGAGATCGCAAGGCATCCTTCACTCCAGCTCGGGTCCGACTCCAAAGCCCTCTGCTTTAGAAAGTGTGATTATTTCTGCTGTAGAAAACCGGTATCTAGGCCGGGCGCGGTGGCTCATGCCTGAAATCCCAGCACTTTGGGAGGCCGAGGCGGGTGTATCACCTGAGGTCAGGAGTTCGAGACCAGCCTGGACAACATGGCGAAACCCTGTCTGTACTAAAACTACAAAAATTAGCCGGGTGTGGTGGCGATCACCTGTAATCCCAGCTACTTGGGAGACTGAGGCAGGAGAATGGCTTGAACCCGGGCGGCGGAGGTTGCAGTGAGCTGAGAGCACACCACTGCACTCCAGCCTGGAGAGCAAAACTCAGTCTCAAAAAAAAAAAAAAAAAAAAAAAAAATCGGTATTTAAGTTCTCTAGCACTGTGATTGCTCCAGTGAAACGGATTCAGCTATAATTCCATTCCAGTTTTTTTCATACATGTACGCTTAGGTACCTTGGCCACATAAATAGGAAGTTGCAACTAAAAGGGGTTTTATTATAGTAGTATCTCAAGCTAGTATTAACCAAAAATATTTAAATGTTTTATCAGTTGACAATTTGTTTTGGTCTTCCTTCAGAGCTATTGAAAACAGCTGGGCGCACCGGGTCTCACACCTGGAATCCCAGCTGAGGCAGGAGGCTCCCTTGAGCCCAGGAATTGAAGGTTGCAGTAAGCTGTGATTGTGTCACTGCACTCCAGCCTGGGAAACAGTACAAGACCTTGCAAATTAGAAAAAAGTTTCTGGAAAGTATACCAAAAGTCTTAAGATTTGCCAAATGAATATTAATTCAACAACCTAACAGCAAGTACTTGGGGTAAGTCGGAGGATCTAGAAACTGACTTCCTTCACACCAACGACTCCTGCATTTAGCAGGTAAAAGCCCAATAGCATGATTGAGTGGAAACACGAAGGGACAAGGGTTAGGCTAGTTATGTTTATAAAAAGTCAACAGAGATTGAGTCAAGATACCAGAAACTCTACTGTAGTAAGATCCCAATTTGCAAAAATAGAGAAAGGAAGCATACGGAACTGTACCTTCTGCTCAATTTTGCTGTGAATGTAAACTTCCTCTAACACATAAAATGTATTTTAAAGAAAAAAAGCCAGGAGTGGTGGCTTGCGACTGTAGTGCCAGTTACAGGGGAGGCTAAGGCAGGAAAATCACTTGAGACCAGCCTGGGAAGTGTCACAAGACCCCATATCTATTTTTTTAAATTAAAGGGGGATGGCTGGGTACAGTGGCTCACACCTGTAATCCTAGCACTTTGGGTGGATGAGGTGGGTGGATCACTTGAGGTCAGAAGTTCAAGACCAGCCTGGCCAACATGGCAAAGCCCCATTTCTACTAAAAATAGAAAAATTAGCCAGGCGTGGTAATGGACGCCTGTAATCCCAGCTACTCAGGAGGCTGAGGTAGGAGAATCACCTGAACCTGGGAGGTGGAAGTTGCAGTGAGCCAAGATGGCGCCATTGCACTCCAGCCTGGGTGACAGGAAAGGCCTACTGCAGGGAAGAAAGACAAATTTAATCCTGGTGTAAAGAAAGGCACCTCTCTAAGAATGAGAAGGAAGGTGTGATGTGGTCTGAAAGAATACTGTAAAAAAGACACACTTGTAGTTAGCAAAATTCTTTAAATTGTTTTTTTTTTTTTTTAGACGGGGCCTGCTTTTGTGCCCAGGCTGCAGTGCAGTACCCGGATCTCAGCTCACAGCAAGCTCCACCTCCCGGGTTCACGCCATTCTCCTGCCTCAGCCTCCCAAGTAGCTGCGACTACAGGTGCCCGCCACCTTGCCAGGCTAGTTTTTTGTATTTTTTTAGTAGAGACGGGGTTTCACCGTGTTAGCCAGGATGGTCTCGATCTCCTGACCTCATGATCCGCCCGTCTCGGCCTCTCAAAGTGCTGGGATTACAGGCTTGAGCCACTGCACCCGGCCAAAATTGTTCTCTTTTTAGTAGCCCCAGAAAAACTACAGAAATTGGAAAAATTCAGAAATTCGATTTGCTGAGGAACTGATCTGAACGACCAGCCTCATTTTCGTTTTGTTTTTTGTTTTTTTTTTTTGAGACGGAGTCTTGCTCTGTCGCCCAGGCTGGAGTGCAGTGGTGCGATCTCGGCTCACTGCAAGCTCCGCCCCCGGGTTCACGCCATTCTCCTGCCTCGGCCTCCCAAGTAGCTGGGACTACAGGCGCATTTTCATAGTAGTATGGCCATGCAGAGCTCCCTAGTGGTTTATTAAAACCTAAAGCTGGCCGGGCGCAGTGACTCACACCTGTAATCCCAGCATTTTGGGAGACCGAGGCGAGTGGATCATCTGAGGTCACCAGTTCAAGACCAGCCTGGCCAACATGGAGAAACCCCATCTCTACTAAAAATGCAAAAATTAGCCGGGCATGGTTGTGGTCTGGGTGCCTGTATTCCCAGCTACCCTGGAGGCTGAGGCAGGAGAATTGCCTGAACCTGGCAGGTGGAGGTTGCAACGAGCCAATACGATGTCACTGCACTCTGGCCTGGGCAGAAGAGTGAGACTCTGTCTCAAAAAAAAAACAAAACAAACCAAACCCTAAAGTTAACTAAACCACCTGGGAGGTGATACCAGAAAAAAAATTTAATACTTCCTGGGTAACCTATTCAGTTTCTCATTTTAGTTACTAGAAAGCTTTCTTCAAAACTTTTATTAATCTGCTCTATTAATGCCAAAACCATTCAAAAGGAATATGAGGTCATGAAAATTAAATTCCCTGGATTCAGTCAATTTGGAGGGCCATTCAAAGCCTGTATTTTTGGCAGCACTGTGACATAAATGACAGTGGATTTGGCTGTGTTCTAAATAGTGGAAGAGCAAGTTGCCATATGTTCTACTCTTTGAAAAAAGAGAGGTTGTTACAGAGCAAGTATGTGTGTCTTTGGGAGGAAAAAGGAAAATAAACTGCCCACCTTCTTCAGAGACTATAACCACTGATGGACTTTCATACTCTAGAATGGCCACTTCTGCTTCCCACCTTTATTTAGAACATTCATCTTCCCCCTCTACTTGGAGATTCCCATTAAAAAAAAAAAAATTTTTTTTTTTTTTTGAGACTGAGTCTAGCTCTGCCGCCCAGGCTGGAGTGCAGTGGCACGATCTCGGCTCACTGCAAGCTCCGCCTCCTGGGCTCATGCCATTCTTCTGCCTCAGCCTTCCGAGTAACTGGGACTATAGGCGACTGCCACCATGCCTGGCTATTTTGAAACCCTGTGAAACTGGGTTAGCCAGGATGGTCTTGATCTCCTGACCTCGTAATCCGCCCGCCTCAGCCTCCCAAAGTGCTGGGATTATAGGCGTGAGCCACCACGCCTGGCCCCATTTAAATATTTTTATAGTAAAATTTCCTAAGGGACTAAGAGTAGACCAGGAAATGTGAAAATCATTACTATGACCACCCAACTATTTAACAAATTTCTTATCCTATCACCTTTCATACCTGTGAAATGATGGTAATAATCGATGTGTCTAGAGAACTTTCAAAAGGGTAAATCTATGTAATTACTCATCCCCAAGTATTTTCTTTTTTTTTTTTTTTTTTTTTTTAAGACGAAGTCTCACTCTGTCGCCCAGGCTGGAGTGCAGTGGCGTGATCTCGGCTCACTGCAACCTCCACCTCCTGGGTTCAAGCGATTCTCCTGCCTCAGCCTCCCAAATAGCTGGCACTACAGGTGCATACCACCATGCCTGGCTAATTTTTTGTATTTTTAGTAGAGATAGGGTTTCATTGTGTTAGCCAGGATGGTCTCGATCTCCTGATCTTGTGATCTGCCCGCCTCAGCCCCAAAGTGCTGGGATTATAGGCGTGAGCCACTGCACCCAGCCTATTTTCTTTTTTGTTCTTTTCTTTGAGACGGAGTTTCGCTCTTGTTGCCTCAGCCTCCTGAGCAGCTGGGATTACAGGTCACCACACCCAGCTAATTTTGTATTTTTAGTAGGGACAGGGTTTCTCCATGTTGATCACGGTGGTCTCGAACTCCCAACCTCAAGTGATGCACCTGCCTCGGCTTCCCGAAGTGTTGGGACCGCCCCCAGCCATCCCTATCTATTTTCTAAGCAGACAGATCAATTAACCTGATTGATAATTATACAATATAGATAATCATCCAGGATACCTTGGATACTTTGAGACACGTTCTCACTGTCACCCAGGCTGGAGTACAGTGGTGTGATCACTGCAGCCTTGACCTCCCAGACTGATCCTACCTGCCTCCCAAATAGCTGGGATCACAGGTACATGCCACCATTCCAGGCTAATTTTTGTATTTTTGTAGAGATGCTGTTTCACCATGTTGCCCGGGCTGGTCTCAAACCCCTGGGCTCAAGAGATCCACGGAACTTGGCCTCCCAAAGTGGTAGGATTACAGATGTGAGCCACCACGCCTGGCCAATACTTTCTGGATAAGGGTACAAAGATATAGTTCAGCAGTGATATGGCTACTGGCAGAGTCTTGGAATGAACAGTTTCTTCATCTGAGGAGCAGGAAAGATTTGTATGTTATTTACCTACCGACTTTCGCTAGGTCCTTCTATTTGCTGTTTGTTCACCACCAGAAGGTGGTACTATATAAATACTTCTCTTTTCCTCTAGTAACTGAGAAAATGATACAGGAGTTTATCTCCTCTCTCTCTGTGTGTATGTGTATATATATATG